TTGTAACAGAGCTGTGGTTTGGGGTTACTAGTTGATCACAGTAGCAAATGGAGTTACTGAGTTCGATATTTGTCCCTTTTCTTTATGAAAATGAAAAATGAAAGAAATGCAAGCTCTTCTTTGGGAAGAGCTAAGTTGGAAACCAAGAACAGAACTCCCTTGAACATCCTTAGTGATGCCGTTCTGCACATAATTAGCAAGGAAGTAGAATATATCCTTTCTCATTATCCATTACATTTTTTTCATTAAACATAATGAAGTTTATGTGTTCATTTATGTAAATAATAGAGAGATCTGTTTTCTTCTCAAAGGTAGTCGATTGGTGTCAAGAGATTCGGTTTTTAATTATGCCTTTACCCCTTGCTGTGTGACTATGAACTTTACCTCTTCAAAGTTTCCTTGTTTATATATCAAGTGGTAACCTCACAGTGTTGATATGAAGATTAAGTAAGGTAATATAAGTTAAAGTTCCTAATACTCAAAAAGATTAGTTTATCTTACTCTCAGATAGAGACATTTTCTGGTGGGAGGAAAGAATATTATTGAGTCACTAGGGTAAGGGGCATAGTAACATACATTGTTCTGAAACTACATTTATTATTAGTTCTGTGGTCCCCAACTGTATAGATCAGACCCCATATTTCCAAATTTACTGATGAGGAGACCCACATTCACTTACATATATGTTACCTTACATAGAATGGTTATTTATATGGGGTGATAAGCTTTTATTTTTCAAACCTGCTTCCTAGTTTTACATGGCAACTGATTATCAAGAGCTTCTCCATAAAAAATAATAAGCATCTCATTAAAACTCCTAGCCCACCCCCATTACTCACCCCCACCCAATATGGAAATAATGAATTGGAGATCCAGAGGCATGTGTTAGCATCTTTTTATTATTATATTGCTGTTGCTGTAAGCATCCTTTCTTTGTCAAACAGCTATGGCTTAGAGCTACAATTGATCACAATGGCAAACAAAGTAGCTGCCTCCCCCACTTAAATATCTGTTATTTGTAACTTATCTTACATTTATTTATACATATAATGGTTCTTTCTTATGCTAAAAATGTTATTGAGTTATTAAGAATAAAAAAATCCAGTTTATTGAGGGGCCATGTGATCTTTGTTTTAGCTGGTCCCTAGGTGTCCTCGTTGTTCATTATCCAAGTAGGAGGTGAGGGGAGGCTTATGTGTCATTGTATTATAAGTGTATTTACATTTTTAATCAGTAAATACACATTTAAACATCATATTCTTCCTATGTTTCACATTCTTTCCCCTCTTTTTTACTGTATCTCATAGACATAATTTCAGAGGACTTTATGAATTGCTACATGTGTGCTAAAGCATAACAATGATTTTCAAACTTAGTACAGAATGTAATTAATTTTTATAGAAACAGTATGTACCTGCCAAGTGGGTACTTTGAAAATGAAATTGTTTTTGATTGTGTGAAACTGCTTGAAAATGTGATTCTCCAAAGCTTGCCTTTTCTTATAGCCAGAAAACAGTGATATGGAAATTAATTATGATTATGCACTCAAGACTGGTTCTTCTTTTTTAAAAATCAAACTTAAAAGAAAAAAAAAAATTCTTTGCACCAAGAACAATCCTGAGACATTTTATATGCCCTGGATTTTAGATGGAAAAGGCCCACTAGTCTAAGATGTAACGTATGTTAGGGTACTCTGTATTTCACCTTTCTGAACCAAGGTGCTATTTTCCTGTAGAACCCCTCCCACTCATTTAGTATAATGAGTTTACATTAAAGGCCAACACTCTAAACAAGAAGCACTGACTTCTTCTGACAAAGTGTCTTATTGGATGTCAGGTGCAAAATAACAGCAGACTGTGGTTAAGGGCTTGTTGTATAACAGGTTTCCTTTAAATGCAACACTCAGATTTCTGATTCCCATGTATAATCTCGTCTGTAATCTCTTTTGGCTCTTCTTGTCTCCTTTTATTTGGGTGATGTTTCTGATTAAATAGTGAGTGTTCAAAACAAAATGATGTATTTATTTGGTTGTATAGGTGAAGATGCTGAGGAAAAGCCAAGTGTGGTTCTTTCCGTGGGTTTATGTAGATGAGATGCTGGTTTACCGATTTGCTTGAGATATAATACACCAGATAAATGGTTTGGAGAAAACACCCCCTCCTAGGGAGGATGGCTACACTTCAGTCTCTTCTCCTCCGTTCTCCTTTTGGGATTTTGGACATGCACACACACATTTCCAGCATGTTTTTCATGCTGTCAGATCTGGGACTTGAAACATGAAGTTGACCATGTGGGATCCAGCTGCCTTAACCACCATGCCACCAGCTGGCCCAAGAATTTGTATTTCTAACAATTTTCCAGGTGATGTGGATGCTGCTGGTCTGGGGGTCCACTACTTTAGAGTGTTGGGAAGGATTGGCTCTGGTTCAGGTTCTTGGGGCATGGAATTGAGGAAATTTCTAGGGAAGGAGATGGGAAAAGATTGAAGAACTTCAGTATCTTTCTTAGTTACCCAGTAGCATTGACATCCTAACTTGTATAGTGTGTTGAAAAGCTAAAGATGAGTGAAGCTGTTAACCTTAATTACTTTTATTAATGGGGATCAGGTAAAGTTAGGAGGAGCACTAGATTTGGTTGTTCCTTATGTCAGCCTTTTCTTCCCCATCTGGGTCCTGCATCTTCCTTGAGAATGAGCCTGTCTCTTCTCCCCATAAAGTGTAACCATATAACCATACTGTAACTGTCATTTGGAGATTAGAGAAATGATGAGAAGGTATATGAAGTTTGTTGGAAAAATGTTCACATCAATCAAGATTACCATGATAATGAAAACCTCATTCATTTGATTCTGCTTATTTCACTTTTTGCAGCAGGTAGCACAAATGTACGAGTTTTCAAAGCAAAACAGTAAGTTTAGGCTTTTGCCCAGAAACTTCAATTACTTAGTGTAAAACTGCTTTCAAGCTATTTCAAGACTGTCACTTGCATACAATTGATTTGATAATTAGAAATCAGTGATACCTATTTATTTACATAAACTGCTTTTAATGCATGATTAGGATTGCTAAGTAGTCATTGCCAAAGAAATATATAATTCCGTTTCCTTCACTTATTTAGTCCAGTAGTTGGTTATGTTTTTAAATGTGAAGGGCAAAATTATGCCTACTTGTCATTTTCTATTTTTTTTTTTTGGATCTCAGCATTATTTTGGACATTCATATTTGTACCTAGTGTCTTTTGTGTTAAGTGGACACTAGAAATACAGTATGTGGCTCAAAGAAGAAAATGTGGCCTTCAAAAAGGTTCTTTTAATTTTGCTCATAAAGCACTTTTTCAGATTGTTACTTGCCTTTGAATAATGCCCTGTACTCATATTTTCCTAGAATAAAACTCCCTACCAGGTAAAGGATTTAAGAGATCTAGGCCATGCTTACTCAATGAAATGCAGCAGAGTGGAAAATACCCTGTATTGCAAGTCAAGAAAATTGTGATTTTTCTGATTTAGTAGTTAAAAGCAATTATATTATTTAAAGAGTTATTGTTATATAGACATTAACTTATTGGGAGTTAATTTTAGTCTTTTGTAAAATTATGTGTTGACGTTTCTACCTGAAGGGATTAAAGTCCGTAATCTGAAGAATTACTTGAAAGCAAAGGTGAAGCTGTATTCAAACTTTGGTGCTTCTTTTCAACCCTTGTCCTTTTGATGTGAAGACCAACCTGAGTCAGATCATTGAGGATTAGTGATGAATGCATTACTCAGCACCCTGTGGGGTTGGGTCAAACATCCTGACTTTGAAAAGTTACTCTTTTGCTTAGTAAGCTTAGAAATAGGTTCAACTACAGAACGAAAACGAGTATTCTGTTGATTAACATGGTCTACTTGAAAATGGCCAATGGCTCTTCTAGATGTCCCTCCTGGCTATGTGTGTAGAATAGTGTCTGAAATCATCAGCTGGATCACCAGTGAATTTTACTTAATTTTACATACAGTTGCTGTATTTCCAGGGAGATTGGGTCCTATGTATTGGGATATCAGAAAAGTCATGATGTATTTTTCTATGTTTTTCTATGCAAAAGTGTGTCCTGACTTTTCCAATTATCCAGTGTATTTGTGTAACAAAATCCATTCCCTTGACTTCAAGAAGACATTTGGCATGGTGAGAGGGCAAGGAATATGTTATTTGAGTCCTGCAAATGGGAATATATTAATAGACAAGAGGACCTGCTATAATAGTACTTTGAGGCAAAGCTTGGGGATTTTGGATCAGATGCCCTCTAAAGAGAGTTATTCTTTTCATTTTATTATTTTATTTTATTTATTATCATTATTATCTTTCAGTTTGCCATAGGGCATGTGCACTCACCAGAGAGAGAGAGAGAGAGAGAGAGAGAGAGAAAACAAGCCACTAGGTCCAGGACTGAAACTGCTGTTGGCCACATGGGAGTCCAGCACCTCAATCATCACACCACTTGCTGGCCTCAAGAGAGATATTCTTGATCATAGTATTGGCCTGAGAGGGGAACACAGGTGGCTTTTTGAGTCGCTCTAGACCTGAGGGAGGGGAGGTCTGGGCTTGCATCTAGGACCAGCTCTACTAAAGACTGAGAAAGAGCTGGTCACTACAGGTGACAGGAAAAGGCAGGGAAATCAGGTAGATGAGCATGTGCATAAAGAGCAATGACAAAAGACGAACTAGACCAGGAGTACATTTATTCTTATGCTTATGGTTTTAGAAGCTTCTTTCAAAATTTGACTTATCTTGAAATAGAAACTAGGCAATAAGACTTAAAGCACTTGGGATTTTATGTCCTTTCAGTAAGCCATGGGTGTACTCAAACTTGGACTCTGGAAGACGATTCAGGGGGGTTCCTAATGTGGTTGTAAAGCATCACTGCCATTCTCATCATCATCTACTGGTGTTTATGAAGTGTATAACCAATGGTCTTCGTGTTTTTGAAAAGACATATTTATTTAGAGTTCATTTATGCTTTTTCAGGTAGCCCAGCCATGACCCATAGGAATCTAACTTCCTCCAGCCTGAATGACATTTCTGATAAGCCAGAGAAGGACCAGGTAAGCAAAAAATTCTTACCTCTTTGAAATGTTTGACAAACATGTCTAAAACATGCCAGAGAAACATTGGGGATCATGGTGTCTCTCTTAAAGTGGACCATTGTGCACTGGTGGGAGTTCGCACTTCCTCTGAGAGAAGGGCAAGTCTAGCTGACTAGAGTTAGAATCAGAAGAAAAGGATTTAAGTCTTCACTCTTGGCCTTAAAAATGCATTCACTTGGATAATTTAGGTCTTGTCACAGCTTTAAAATATTGTAATAATCATCTCTGCTTCAGGTTTGTTGTAGGGACTAAATGAGATCACTTAATGAAAAGTGTTTTGGTCAACTATAAAGGGCTAAGAAATGTTGGCCACCATTAGCTCCTGAGGGCTACCTCAGACATAGGCCACAGTAGCTAGGTTGTTTCATTAGCTGTATCGACGTCTATTAAAACATATAGCAGGCAATCTACTGGAAATGAAGACCAATCAGGTTTTGAATTTGTTTTCTTTCTTCTGGAAAAAAAATATGGTTTTCAAAGATTTAGTGAGTGTCTATGGAGGGAGATTATATTTCAAGAATATAGAGTATTGGTATTTATAAATGGATGCCTCCTAAATAAAAACACTTAAAGTTTCCAAAAATAAAAAATCTGAGCCTGTTCCCTGGGGCTGTCAAGAAAATGGTATATGCTGGCAAAAGCAAGGAACATGAAGCAAAAAAAGTTAGTCTTGATACTTGTTCCAAAAATCGTCTAGTGAGGTGATGATGGACACCAGTTTTCTCATCTGTTAAATGGAAGCAATAATATGTAGTTCACCTTAGAAAATTGTAGGGCCTCCCCCTCTGAGGCTTCTGAGAATCATTGACAATAAGCCGATTAGAAAAGGCATACAGATTTGTGTTTAAGATATACCTTTATATATGGCAGCCATAGAGAATGTGAACTCAGAAAGGGGCCATATAGTTGTGGCTTAAATATTTCTTCACAGGGGAGAGGACACATGGAAGTACAGGTAACTTTAGAGTAAATCATCTTTATGGGGAAAGAGCATTCAGCACTTAGTGGTGAGTAAATGATTCTCCTTTGGGAGCTGGATGGGCCGGGAGATGACAAAACCTTGCATTTCTCAATCTTCCCTCTTGTGACGCAAGCTTAGTTAAGGAGACCTTAGGGAAAGGACCGGAGGTAATTGCTTTCTTCTTTAGTGGGTTCAGTCTACAGGCTGATAACGAATGTCAGTGTAAAGTTCTCCCCGGACTTTGGGGAAAAAAGGAGGACCGGAGATGACAGGGAGTAGGAGAGAAATCAGAGACGTTGGTTCTGAGTCTGTTTCTCTAATTCAGCACATCAAACTCCAGTCTTTGGGGAATTATTTTCTGAACCCCAACAAAATCAAGTATCAGATCCTTGCTCTGATGGCTTACTTTGTTATCTGTCGATATGTCAGAAGAGTATGGTTCTAGTTGGATTCAGCCTGGCAGGTTACTTAGATATCATGTACGTGAGCTTACTCTCTCTTTTTCTTTCTTAAGTAGGTGGATTTGAAATTCCATTTTGCTATTTTATTTAACACCATATTGTATTCCTCTTTAATTGACAGTACTTTTAGTAGTGACAGAGGTTTGTAGTCATTGGTAGCTTCTAAAAAGTACAGGAAAGGTGAAATTACATTTTTTCATGTGAAATGGCCCTTGGATTCTTTCTTCCTGGTTCTCACCAACACCTAACAGGGCCTTTATCATCTCAACTCTGAATTGCTAGAAAAGCCTTTGGAACTAGTCCCTCGTCCCCATTTCTCTTAGTTCTATATTCTTTTCATATTGTTGCCCTCATTTTTCTATTCTGGATTAAAACCTTATAATGGCTTCCTATTAAGTTCAGATTCCCTATATGACTCTTGAGATCATCTGAAATCTTGTGTTCTTCTTCTTTTTTTCGACTATTTATTTTTGCTCCTCAAAAGAGGGGTTCTGGGGGACCAGCAGTTAGTGTAATGGCTATGTCACTGAACTCCCATGTAGTCAACTGTGGTTCGAGTCCTGGACCCGGTGGCTTAAACTCATGCTGGGCACATGTACATGTGTGCCCAAGATCCCGAGAGGAAAAAGGAGGAGAAGGGATTGCGGTGTGGCCATCCCCCCCGGGGGGGGGGTGATTTCTTACTTTCTGTCTCTCTGTCTCTCTGTCTTTCTGGTGAGCGCACACACCCTATGGCAAAAATCTCTCCAATAAATAAATAAATAAATAAATAAATAGAGGGCTTCTCTGTTGTGTTTAGGATTAAATACTTTTCTTCTCCTTTACATGGAAATTGATTCATGACTCCTGGAACCACTCCTCCTTCAAATGCTAATATGCCCTTTTTTCTTTAGTTTTAGTTTTTTGCTATAGAATGTTTGTGTTCACCAAAGAGAGACACACAGAGCGAGGGAAAGTGAGAAATCACCCCGCTCCAGGTGGGGTGGCCATGCTGCAATCCCTTCTCCAGTCTCCTCTCGGGATTTTGGGCACCCATGCACACATTCCAGGCATAATTTTCAAGCTACCATGTTGGGAACTCAAACTGCAGAATTGGCCATGCGGGAACCCATTGCCTTAACCTCCATATCACCCACTGGCCCAGCCACTGTGGATTGTTTTCCTTCCTTGTGTGTTCTTACCTTTTGAAATGATCAGGAAGAAAATTATTTGAATATTGCATAGGTACATACCTGTAGTGAAAAAGGGAGAACTTGGGCCACTAAAATTTTTATCAATATTATTTTGCCTGTTTTAAATACATTCAATATTTACTGAGCAATGTCTTTTTTTGTTGACAGGTTTTTTCTATAGGGCGCGTGCGCTCGCCAGACAGAGAGAGACAGAGAGATAGAAAGCGAGAAATCACCCCTCCAGGGGGAATGGCCACGCCGCAATCCCTTCTCCTCCATTCTCCTCTCAGGATCTTGGGCACACACACATGCACGCTCAGCATGAGTTTAAGCCACCGTGTCTGGGACGTGAGCTGCGGTAGACTTCATGGGAGTCCAGTGATGTAGCCATTATGCCAACTGCTGGTCCCGCAATGTCATTATTTATGAGATTTTCCAGGGGTCTTGAAACTGGATAAAGGCACCAATTCAAGTCAAGAATATCTGATAGATTTTTTTTAAAGATTTATTTTAATTTTATTCATTCATTCATTTTTTTTTTTTTGTTTTAACTTGATAAGAGAGAGCCATACAGAGAGAGAGAGGGAAAGTGAGAAAGCAAGCCACCAGGTCTGGGACTTGAACTGTGGTTGGCCATGTGGGAATGTCCAATGCCTTAACCACCATGCCACCTGCTGGTCCCTCTGATAGTTTTTTTTTTAATATAAATTTTATTATGTTTTATAAATTCAATCACTGTATATTACAGCATGGACAATGAATTTTCCCAGTATGAATACAATGTATATTAGTCCAGGTAATGGTATTATCATACACATTATCATCAACAGATAATTTTCCATTTCTGTGCCCCATAAATGTTTTCTTTCTTTCTTTTTCCCTTTGATGCTCTTCCTCTCACCAAGGAAACCTTTTCTTAAAAAAAATTATTTTATTAGGACAGCTCTCCTCTTGCCAGGAATTTGATGATAAGCTGTAAATACTGGCAGAGAAGAATGTCTTCTTTTCCTGGGTCTATTCATATTGCGTCATATGCAGAATTTTGATGCCTTAAGATGCGTATTACATAAGATTTTGATTCCAGTAATAGAAGAAATATGTTGGAACATTATCATTTAGGGGTGTTGATTTTCTATAAAATCGGAGTGACTGAGGTCTTTAAAACCAGAATCTGCAGTGTCTATCACGAGCATCTCATAATTCATCAAGGTTTATGTTATGGTGGAATCAGGAAGATTTAATTCAGGAATTTTTTTTCCTTTTGTTTTCATAGCCAGTACCTGAAGGTTGATAAATATTTTATTATAAGAGTGACTATCTACCTAAATTGTATCTATTACAGTAGTCATGATTAATTCAGTGAGTTCCTTCTCCCTCAAAGAGCACATAGAACCTCTGTTCTCTGTTTCCTTTCAAAGAGTTCGAAGGAAAGCTTTGTAACTAATCTATGATCTCTTCTGTAACCAAAGATCCAGTAGGAATTCAAACTAATATTTCTAGATACACCTACTATTTTCGTAATTTAAAATACAAAGGTTCCCAAATCATGTGTTTTTTTTTTTTTTTTTAGTTTCAGTTGTCATGTGAGTGTGTAATCAGCTGTGAGGAAAAGAAAGTATTTCTCATCATTTCGTCTCTTAAATTTAAGTCTTGTAGAAGCGCATGTTTACTTGTACAGTACTTTAAAAGGGTTGTTTTGCTTTTTAGATTTACTAATAATGCAGTAGGACAGGGCTGAAGGAAAATGAACTTGCAAATAAGATGAAGCTGATTTTATTTTTCTAAACCTTTTTTCTTCTTTTGAGTAGGAAAAAAAGGTTGCCAGGCTCAAATTTGTTTCGAAAAAGCTTTTATAATTAATTAGCCGATGTCCTGGAAGTGGTCTTGGCAGTAAAGTCACACTTGTCTACATGTTTGTCCAAGTTGGCCTGAAAAACTTCCATCAGATCTAGACTGATGTTTCTGATTGACTGATTATTTTGCCTAGATACAATCTGAACAGTTGTGATGGTGCTCCGAACCCCCTGGAGCTATATAAATCCCCAGTAGCCCAAGAAATGCTCTTAGTGTTCAGAGTTATGGAGAGGAACAGAATCGCTCTTTATGACAACCACATCATCGTGACAAAATCTGAGGGCCTATTTTTTATGAGATTCTGTGTTGGAAATCATAAGAAAGAAATCTGTGGACTGCGCTCTTTCTTTCTGGCTCTGCCAAACCTGTGTACTTAGGATTTCAGTGGCGGCTGCCTTATTGAGAAATAGCTGCTCAAAATAGTTAATAGCAGAAGAGCATAGCCAAAACTGAGGTGAGTCAATGCTTAACAATATTCCAACTTGGATGTTATATTTATTAAGCAGAAAA